ACCTGAGGAACATAGAATTTCTATACTCTCATTCTAGGGGACCCGTTTTACTGCAATTAAGTACTTAATTACATAATTACTAACACAGCGCTTTTTAATTGAACTATGTGCTTGTTGGACAGCGTTAAAAAATAGGTTTAATGTTTCCAATCCCTCCTAAGCTGTTTATTTCAAAAAGTAGTACGGTGCACAACATAATTACTGAATTTGTAACATTTAAAAGCCGAACAATCAACACAATTTGTTTGCACAAACTTTATTGAATTGTTTATAAAAATAGTTTTAATGTTTCAGATCTCTCCTAAGCTGTTTATTTCAAAAAGTAGTACGGTGCACAACATAATTACTGAGTTTGTAACATTTAAAAGCCGAACAATCAACACAATTTGTTTGCACACTGTACGACAGGGTTAAAAAATAACTCTATCTTTGATAGCTTTATTGAATTGTTTACTCGATATTTTCTCATCAGTAAGGACTCATTGCTTGTTTTTATTTTCGAGAAACCAAAGATCGCGAGTAATGACCGTAAGGGAATGCAAAACGTTGCCATTTAAAAAACACTTATCAGCCGCAGGCCCGATTTAGCCTTTTCTGACCAATCCTACAGTATTTAAAGAATTCAGCAAAATATTAAACAAGTTCTTCGTCAGTCGTTATTCATAGCAAGGATTATACTAAGTAACATTCTATTAGTTTTTTTAACGCTTAAAGCAGATACAAATAACACTGTTGTTTTTTTCCTTAAATTTAGATTTTGGGGAAATTCGGATACAAAAAGCAAACACTGGAGTGAAAAACTTATCCCTACCTGACAACACGACAGTTGCACTGATTCTTCCGCTCCCAGACTTGCCTAATACAAATGCATAGAAGCTTAGTGTAATGGTTTCTGGGAAATGTGGTTTTTAAACTCTGCACCCAACGGCGTCAATTTGATTGAAATAAAGACTTTTAGTAAATGTATTAGAAGTTTACAAATATAAGGGTTTCGTGTAGTGCTTCTTATCTGGTTACGTATTGACTTATTGCGAAAAAAAGCATAAACATACAGTAGACAGTTTCAATATTCAATAAGTATTCAAGGCCTTATAATAATCGACAAAATAATAATAATAAAATTGCAGCAGACGTATTGGGCCCTTAACCAAATTCCAGTGCTGAAAAAGCAATAAAACGCAGGAGAATTCTTTATTCCGACAATTGAAAATGCAGGAATTTGAAAAAATAGCAACGCTTTAGTTTATTTCCAAAAAATGAACATTCACAACCAGAGTACATGTAAAGCATTTGAAATTCAGCAATGATTAAAGCTTATTTGCAAGCACAAGCCTTAAATGTAAACATGACTGTGTTGCGTATCCTTACAGAAAAGCTCCAGGAGACATTTACCTAAGCTGTTCTAAAAAATTCATTTGAGGTCATGTTTCAGTGATGATTTTGAAGAAGTCAATTGGGTTAACTTTGTCTTTGCCTTGCAAGATTTTGAACACTTGAATCAGGTTTTTTCAGATCAAGATGAAAAATATTCAGCTCTTTAGTGTTTGACAGCATTGGACATTCCTTTTAAGCCTGGAAATATATCTGGTTACTGTTTTTTTAATGGATTCTAGAGCGTCAATATGTTTGTCATTGGTATTTCCATAACCAAAACTGAACACAGGGCATTGTACAATTTTAATATAACCTCCCTTGATATACATGCTGCAATTTCAATATACTTTGTATATTAACACAGATATATGTTAACATCCTTTTTGCCTTTTTTATTCTTCCCCACAGTTTCTAGAACAGGAATAGCTACAGTAATCTTCATTCTGGAAAGCCACAATCCAGCAGGTTTTAGATCCCTCTTAAATCAGTAATTAGCTGGTTAATGTGTTCAATTTAATCAGGAATGTTATCCGTGAGAGCTACAGGGTGTTGTAATTTGGATTTTAAATGCTATTTAAACTGTGCCCTGCAATGGACTGATATCATGTCAAGTGTATACTTGGCCTTGCGCCCGTTGCTTGTTGAGATAGGCTCCCACTCCCCCTCGACTCTGAATTGGAAGAAGTGGTTAGGGAATGGAAGGTGGATGCTCAGTATCTAAACTGCTTAATTGAGCTCCTCCTCTTCCATGATCTGAGCAAGTTCTGTTCTGAGGATTTAGAAATTCATAATTTAAAGGTGACCATTAAAACCAACAGTTGATTAATGGTCAACTGTTACTGTGATCCAGCCATAGTGCACCAGAACACTCTGGGGAGGAGAGCAGAGTAATATAGCCTATTCATAGAGGAGGATTATAAGGAGGTCATGATGAAATTGGCCCTTACCTACTCTTTTCGAGAAACACCCTGGGATTTTTAACGACCACAGAAAGTCAGGACCTTGGTTTTATATCTCATCCGAAGGACAGCGCCTGTTTACAGTTTAGTGTCCCCATCACTATACTAGGACATTAGGACCCACATGGACCACAGGATGAGCACCCCCTGCTGGCCCCACTAACACCTCTTCCAGCAGCAGCCTTAGTTTTTCCCAGGAGGTCTCCCATCCAGGTACTGACCAGGCTCACACCTGCTTAGCTTCAGTGGGTTGCCAGTTGTGAGTTGCAGGGTGATATGACTACTGGCCATGTAATTGTCACCTGCCGGGTTTTACCTAGTCATATTTTTCAATATGTTTTGCAGGTTCTACAGTTTACAAGTCCTCCTAGTTTGGTATCATCTCTGAACGTACCTATTTTGCCAACCAGAATCTAGATCAGGGCTAGTCATCTCACCCCACCCAATCCTCTCTATTCCTGTACTTTGATGTAACCAGCTCCTTTATTGCTATATTGATCTTTCTGATTATCCGTGTAATCATTAACAGGTTATAGCAAAACTAGTTTTGATTGGAGCTGATTATTAAAAAATTGTTTACTGGAGCAGATTGTAGGGGAAACAAGTTCAATAGGTGTGATTTAGATATTTGATATAAATCAGGAAGACCAGTGATCTTGAACTTGTTTATTATGGTATTCTCCTAATAACATTGCCTACATTTAAGCATTCACCCCTTATCTGTACTATTTTTCCCATTAATCAATTCTGAAGCCAAGCACACAGATTAAATGTCTACACCTGCAAACTGAAAATTTGTGTTTTTATGAATAATTTAATTAACAACCTCCTGAATAAATAAGAAGTGTCATATACACTGTTTGTATAAATCTTCATAAGTTAGCTAACCAAGACTTATTCTTTTTAAATCCATTTAGACTTTTTAATTTCTAAATCCATTTAGACTTAATGGATGACCTTCACTTTAAATCAGCAATTTTCCAGTTAGAAACTTTTAAACACCTCTCTTGTTTCTTTACAATTGCAAGAATAGTATGTTTTATCTTCATTGTTAATATCCCTTAATATAGGACTTTGTTGCTGCTCAGCCTGAGGCAAGGTGTATTTCATCTTTCCCAAACACCTGAGTGAATTATTCATTTTATGTCTCCTAACAAAAACATGTAGCAGAGATATGAGAATTTTTTTTTATTTCTTATGATTAATAAGGACTATATTTCTGCAAGCTGGCATGGTGGTATGCTGGTTGACATTGTGCCCTTGCGGTGCTGGGGTGTTATCTGTGTGGAGTTTGTATGTTCGTACTGTGTTTGTGTGGATTTCCTCCCACAGTCCAAAGACAAACTGCTAGGCTTGAAGGGAATATTTGGCCCGGGTGTGAGTGTGGGTGACCTGTGATGGACTGGTGTCTCATTCAGGGTGTATCCAGCCTTATGTCTGTTGCTTGCTGGGATAGACTCTTGGAACCCTGAACTGGATGAAGTAGTTGGAAAATGGATCCAAATATTTCTGCATATGTTTATTAATAATCAATATTTAATTGTCCATAATGGTTAGTCTTTTATTAATAAATAATGACTAAAAATCTGTCATGTTTTGGTAGTCCTTATGTATTCTTTACCAGTTCATTATATCTATTAAACTGAAGAAACACTGTGTTTTTCTTAAGTGTTGCTTATTAATCTATTTTCTTCCTTACAAATTCACATTACAGTTTATTCTGCTGTAGGGTTACTTAATTTAATACTTGTCATTCCCCCTATCTCTGAGACAGTTTAAATCATAGTTTGCTGTTCGTTTGCTTTTGTAATACTGAAAAAAAACTTTACAGATTTTATCCTCCATTGTAATATTCCTTTCTATTAATGTCTTGGCCTTTCTAATGTGGTTTTAACATGTGTGTGGAGTTCATTATACTGCCTTGTTAACTGGATTCTCTTTTTTGTTAACCTATTTCTTTAACCTTAACTACTTAATAGATTTGGGCCACTGCTTTGCTGTCTAATTTAATTACTTGTGGGATAAAAATATCTAACGTGCCGTAAGATAAGGGATGGATTAATTTTGTGCTTTAAGCGGAACATCTCTCAACTGTTGTGACTCTACTGATTCCATATGTATGCTGTATCATTCCATTTCTCTTGATTGGATTTCCTGAAATTCTCCATCTTTGTTCCTGTCTCTACCTGTACAGTTTCAAAGTACACTTCACAACCTACATATAATGTTCACAGTTCTGTGACGTTTTTTTTATTTCTATTTTCCTTACTCCATCTTGATTATTTAAAAAGACTGGATCAATACTAGTAATAACTGAAGGCATTCCCTGTAGCATGTGCTGTGATAAACTGAATATGAAAGCCATTGTTAGGTCTGTGTACCATTTCAGTTGCATTTGCTGACCTTCCTACTGTTTTTTCCTACAGTAATCTACAGTAATCTAATCTATTTGGAAAAAATTACAATCTCCCATGAAAACCACTTCTTCCTTTAAATGTACATTCCTGATTTTGTCATATCGCAAACGGCATCATGATTTATAGATGAATATGTTGACCTGTAGGATCTTGCTAATGCTATACCCTTTGTTTTTTATAAATATGACCCCTGTTGATTCTCGGTCCCTTGGCTCCTCTGTGTTAAGTCACTGTTCTGAATACACTTTTCATGTGTGGTACTGCTCATCCTCTTCCATCTTTTCTGTCACCTGGGATTTGGTTGTGTATTCACTAATATTTTAAAGTTCTGCTTTGTTTTTTTGCTTACATGTCCATGTACTATGATCTTTTTTTACTGATATTCCTGAGATACAGTTTGGTAACTGTAATGTGCATTTTTATTCAATACATTAGATTGGTAAGAACGGTATATACTGTACTGTACTTGAGCAAAATCGTAATTACAGATCACAGATCTGTAACTGACCCATTTCTCTACCTTTCAGGCCATTTTGTTTTATCTCATTACTTTTATTTTCCATATACAATCCATATTCCAAAAACAAAGACAATCCAGGGAATATAACATGAAATCATTTTCAAGTTTTTAAATGTATTGTCTGGAATAAAAAAGGAAAAATCAATTTAAATGAACAAGAAAATCAGTGGCATAAACATTCATGGAACCATGAACCATGGGTCCATAAACATAAAAATTATCCCTTCACTGCATGAACTTAGACTAAGGCTTTTGTATTTTTTAGAAGATGCCCTTCAACCCATTTATAGTAGCCCATTAAAGACTGTTCTATCTAGACAGACAATAAAAGCTGACAGATTCTAATTGTATTTCAGAAAAAACATTTCTAGAGATATTCTTCTTTAAATACTGTTGGAAACCTTTAGCTTTTTATTATCCAGTAACAAAAAAAGGAATTCATTTATGTTCTGTATGGAAAGTCCATCATCGAATTTCTCATATTCAGAAAGGGCCCTCTAAAGATATACAAATGGGTTTAAAATCCTTTTAAGCACATAAAATTCAATTTGAAAAACAAAATACTATAGTGTGACAAATAGCC